CCAGAACGCGAAGTACTCCCGCAACGCGCTGCTGTTTAACCTGTGCTTCGTGTTCGGGTCGGACGCGGACAGCCAGCGGTACGAGCCCGTGGTGAAGAAGCTGGCGGGATACCTGACCACCCTGGAGCTGGAGACCGGGTTCCTGTCGGACGAGCAGAGCAAACAGAAGCTGCCGCAAGTCATGAAGGTGGGAGGGGCGGGGGCGTGGCAGGGGCGGGCGGGGATGTGTTTTTGTACCTCTGTTGTTTTCTTTAGAGGTGTTCAAAAATTCATTCTTTCTTTAGAACTATCGCAGAGTGGAACTTGTCATCAAGGACAGAAGTACAGTAGGGGCACTAGCATTAGATAGCTTTTAAGTTTATTAGCTTTAAAAAAAAAACAATGTCTAGAGTTAGATGTTCAAGGGTTAGGTGTAACTAACAAGTCATTTGGTGAAATCATGAAAGTGAACCTCCATGGTGAAATCTAGCCAGCTGCTGCCGCACCGAGTGCCTGTGAAGCTGGTGTGTTATGCCGAAGGGCGGTTATACCGGCTATACAGATACGTGGGCTGGCATGGGTGGGTGATTTTGTATCTCAACACGTCACAGATATGAATATTTAAGTACTCTAGTACAAGGACTTAAGATAAATGTTTTGTAGATTGTAAAAGGTAGAAAGAAAGAAACAAGGTACTGAAAGACAGTCATGAGAAATTTTTTGTTCCCGCCCCCAGGAACTGCTGACTCAGCTGAACACCTGTGGCACCTGCAGCGTCCCCATCAACGAGTCCAACACGCTGCACCTGAAGATCGTCCCAACCTCCGAGGAGCCTCCCGTCGTGCTCGAGCACCACGTGCCCGTCTTCCTTAAAGACAAGGTACTATAAAGTCTTAAGCACCATGTGCCTGTGTTCCTTCGTTAAGAGAAGGTACAGTCTTGAAAGTGTGTTGGTAATACATGTATCTGTATGGAGCCAGTGGGACCTCACCACCCAGCAGATCCTACATACTTACATGTCTGCTGTACCGTTGCTGATCCTGTAACATTATAGACAAATGTTTGTTTTGTTGTTTTCCTCCCCAGGAGTCGTTTGTGTCCAGCCAGTGGCACTTCACCACCCAGCAGATTCTACATACATACATGTCTGCTGTACTGTTGCTTATCGTGTAACATTATAGACAAATGTTTCATGTTGTTGTTCCCCCCCCAGGAGTCGTTTGTATCAAGCCAGTGGCACCTTGCAAGGCCCACTCGACAGCTTCCTGGCCACAGTTAAGAAGAAAAAGTTACAGTGGTTCGGACATGTGTCTAGGGCCAAAGGCACACTGTCACATACAGTTCTCCAGGGTAAGGTGGAAGGCGCACGGCCGCGGGGACGTCCCCGTCGGTCATGGATTACAGACTTAAAAGAGTGGACTGGTGTAACAGCCAACCAGATGGCCAGACTGGCGGAGGACTGCCAGCAGTGGAAGAACTTGGCCAAACATCATGCTGCCCCGACGGCTGACTAAGCTATGGGAGAGAGTGAGTGAGTGAGTGAGTGGCACTTCACCACCCAGCAGATGCTACATACATACATGCCTACTGTACTGTTGCTGACATACATCATGTATGTAATAAATGGTAAGGACGGTGTATAAGTATAAATGTTTGTTGTTGTTTCCCCCCAGGAGTCGTTTGTATCGAGCCAGTGGGACCTCACAACTCAGCAGATCCTGCCGTACATCGATGGGTTTAACCACGTGCAGCGGATTGCCCAGGAGGCAGATGTGGACATCAACCTGGTGCGCATCTGTGTGCAGAACATGCTGTACTACGGAGTCATCACGCTGCTGCCCATCTTCCAGTACTCCAACGTCTACGTCTGCACGCCCGACATCCACACACTGGTGCAGGACTCACGGCTGCAGAGCGAGTGTCTCGCCTACGTCTCCAAACACCCCAGCCACACCCCACCCAGGTGCAGTACTTCATACTTACCCTAACCCTAACCCTAACCCAGCCACACTCCGCCCAGGTGCAGTACTTCATACATACCCTAACCCTAACCTAACCCTAACCCAAACACCCCAGCCACACCCCACCCAGGTGCAGTACTTCATACATACCCTAAGCCTAATCCTAACCCTTACCCTAACCCTAACCTAAACACCCCAGCCACACTCCGCCTAGGTGCAGTTTATATATTGCAGAATTCGTATTTCATCTTGGATTCTAACTTACTCATTTTTGTTTGTATTATGCCTGTACAACGTACTTTTACTATCACTCCGCAGGTTCCGTGACGTGTTCACGCTGTACTGCGGGCTGGGCGCAGGAACCACCGTGCGTTACCTTTGCACCCGTCTGCAGAACGTGGGTCTAGGTACGCGACACTAACCGTTTTACTTCTCCGCAGGTTCCGTGATGTGTTCACGCTGTACTGCGGGCTGGGCGCGGGAACGACGGTTCGCGACCTTTGCACCCGTCACGCGGCCCAGCTTCAGAACGTGGACGAGCGCCGGCTGATCCAGTTCGGCCTGACGAAGGGCATGATCCGCCGCGTGCGGAAGTACCCGGTCAAACTCTCGTCCGCGGAGTTCGGCAGCGCGGGGAAACCGTGGACACGCTGGATGACGGGACTGCACAGCTACGACGAGATCTGCTGTAAGACTGGCATGACGTATCAGGAACTGGAGGATAAGGTGGAGAGTGACCCACACATCGTCGTCTGCTGGAAATAAACAAATAAACAAACAAACAGTCATACAGTATGACTGTACAGCTGTGATGAGATGAATGATGTTGAAAGGTTTATTCGTCCAAAACACATGGAAGCCACAGGCTAAATTGCGTGTTTTACAACAGTGACACATTTAAAAATATGTACGTAAAAGTGACCACAATAAAAGTAATTAAGGGAGATCTGCTGTAAGACTACATGTCCTTCATGTTTATGACATCGTCTGCTGGAACTAGAAGAGTTATATTGATGAGTAGTAGTTGTAGTAGTGTAGTAAAGTAGTAAAAATAGTAATGTAGTAAAAATTTCAGATGGAGCTCCTTGTATATATGTAAGCAAATTTGTGTGAAATTGTAAATAGCCAAAATGATATTGTTATGTGATTTGTTATTGTAAGTAAGTATCAGTAAAATTAGTTACATCTTACTGCTTTTGTATGAGAGCATCCAATGTAAGAAATGAGAATATATAGATACTTGTATGTATATAGAAGAATATAAACAAAGTTATCCTATGAATCTTCCATCAGAGTTAGACTTGGTAACAATAACTAACATTACGGGAAAATATTCTGCTGTTTTCTTGTACAAATGTAAGAAGAACTTGTAACTATGGAGTGTTGACATGTCCATGCCTGAGACTGAAAATCAATCTTCTGTCATCTTGATAATAAAGTTCTGAGAACTATTTCTGGTCTGAGTGGAAAGTTGCATGGCGTTTACTGAAAGGAGTGTTAATAAATTGTTTTAGTTTATTTATTACACCAGGATATTTATTGATTTTGATCTTATTTATTCATTTCTGGTCTGAATGGAAAGTTGCATAGCATTTACTGAAAGGGGTGTTATATTGCAGCTTATTTATTTAACCAGAATATTCATTGATTTTGAAATTTGATTTTATTTATTTGCACTTACAAAGGACATAATATGCTTGATAAACCTACGTAGTAAAATCAACTTACAAATCCAAGGATGCTGCACGAATGTCTCATAGAGAATTTGATTATAACGCTATGTGTACTAGTATGTTTCGAATTTGGCGGGAGATGACCTTCCACCTTTGACCGGCGTTGACCCCTGCCGTTTTGCGGCCGATATTACGACGTCTGGTCCGATGGCGCATGGAGACTTCCCGACGGTCTAAGTAGGTCAGATCCGGTCCGAGATGGGGAAAAGCAGGAATAAGAAGTACAAGTCCGCCCGAGCGCGCCCCACCGGGCTGCCCAGTGTGGCAGAGGCGCTTCGGGAGGGCGAGGGGGCCGGCAACGGGACCGGGGAGCAGCCGGCACTGGCTATCGTGGAGAAGGTAGGCACGTGCAGGGCAGGGGGAGGGGGTTACAGTACGGCGGAGGGGGTGTGTGAGGATGCGTGAGTGGGTGGGGATGTTGGTAGGGAGGGGGTTCTGGATAGATCGGACAGGCCATAGTGAGAAGGTAGCGTTACTCACTGGCACATGCACGGCAGGGGGCAGGGGAGGGGTACATGCACGGCAGGGGGCAGGGGGAGGGGTTGTGTTTGTGCACCATGCAGATGGAACTGGTATGTCAGGAGCCCCCATATTCGCCCTCCTCCAGTATCATAACACACAGTTGCTGACTGGTGCTGCAGGAGCCCCCCCCCCTAACCTACCCCCCCTAATCCTACCCCCCTGTAACACACAGTTTGTACCCCCCCAGCTGCAGTCAGCCTCAGCAGAAGAGCGAGAGTGTGCGTGCACCACCCTGGCAGGCCTGGTGCTACAGGAGGCCGGTCTAGCCGCCCTGTTGGACAGCCGGTTAGTCCGCACGCTCGGTCCGCTGCTGCTGGACCCCAGCCAAGCCGTCAGGGAACGGGCCGCTGGCGTCTTCAGGTAGGGCTTCGCATCATCATCATCACCACCCATTTCTTCAACTGTGATGTTCTTTGTTACAGACTGACGTAGAAATAAGTTCTGTCTTTCTGTCATCTGTCATCTACATATGTATGTAAATCATGAATGTGTAGACCACAGGAAGAATAGCCTCTTATGAGGCTAATTGTGGATCTGAATAAAACTCAAACTCAAACTCATTGAAGGTTAGACATCCAGATAATGAAATACACAAGAAAACAGTTACTCAAGCAACTGGTTAGATTTTGTAAACTGTTCCAGGTAGCATCCACTACTTTTTGTCAGTGGAACGTCTGGTGGTTTTCCAAACTGTCCTGAGTCAGAGTTTCTTTCCCCTCCCAGGAACATGACGGTTGGCGGAGGTCACGACCTTTGCGACCTCATGGTGGAGGAGGATGTCATGACCCCGCTGGTCGCGCTGCTCAAACAGGTCACAGGTCAGCTGACCGACAGCCAGCCAATCGACACGCAGGCTGGTGCAAGGCATGCTGGGAGTGAGAGTGCGGACAGAGACCCGGTGTGGAGAATATTATACCAGGCCGTTCACCTGCTGTGGAACCTCTGGTGAGTATGGTGTCCTCATACACCTGCCTTCTCACCTGTAACACACCTGCCCTCTCACCTGTAACACCTGTAACACACCTGCCCTCCCACCTGTCCTCTCACCTGTAACACACCTGCTGTAGAACCTGTGGTGAGTGTCATCTCACACCTGCCCTCTCACCTGTAAGACCTACCCTCTCACCTGTAACACACCTGTTACACACCTGTTGTGGAACCTGTGGTGAGTGTGGTGTCAGCTTACACCTGCCCTTTCACCTGTCTCACCTGTAACACACCTGTTGTGGAACCTGTGGTGAGTGTGGTGTCAGCTTTCACCTGCCCTCTCACCTGTCTCACCTGTAACACACCTGCTGTGGAACCTGTGGTGAGTGTCATGTGATAAACACAGGTCAGATGCACAGGCCAGGTCTTCCTTCAAGGCATCATGTTTGAAGATTTCAATTTGTTCCTTGTTTATTTTCCCTTGTTGTTACAGTGTTACTGTTTATTCTTGTTACAGTGAAAGTAGCAGCACAGCAGTCTGCATCTTTAACAAGGAGAATCTTCTCCCTACATTATTACTGTGTCTTCGGCAACGTGACAGGAACCTACCACTGGCCATGGCGGGGGGTAAGGCTGACATTTAAAACTGCACTTTCCTAAATCAAGCATAATACAGATGTAATAGAGCTTAAATGAAATTCCTATAGTGTTAGGATTTTGTATTGTGGTGAGTGTTGCATCTTGCTGGTTATTCTGCTCTACACTGTAAAATATGGCTCAATGCTGTTTGTGTCCTTCCATACAGCGCTAGCCCGGTGTCTGCAGACAGTTTTCTGTGGCCCTGAGTTGTTCATGTTTGTTTGTTTGTTTGTTTGTGCAGCCCAGTGTCTGCAGACGGTGACAGAAGACAACGCAGAGGTGCTGCAGCAGTTTTCTGTGGTCCTGAGTTGTTCATGTTTGTTTGTTTGTTTGTTTGTGCAGCCCAGTGTCTGCAGACGGTGACAGAAGACAACGCAGAGGTGCTGCAGCAGTTTTCTGCAGACACACTGAAGCTGTTGGAGGCACTGCTGATGGGGGAGGGGGGCGGCAATGTGGACAGCCTGCTGCTCAGGACAACAGTCGCAGGTAAGGGATACGTTCTGTCACCTGTAACACACCTGTAACACCTGTCACACACCTGTAACACCTGTAACACCTGTCCTCCCACCTGTAACACACCTGTCCCACCTGTAAAACACCTGTCCCACCTGTAACACACCTGCCCCACCTGTAAAACACCTGTAACACACCTGTCCTCGCACCTAAAGCACACCTGTAACACACCTGTCCCACCTGTAGCACACCTGCCCTCTCACCTGTAACACACCTGTCCCACCTGTAGCACACCTGCCCTCTCACCTGTAACACACCTTTCCCACCTGTAACACACCTGTAACACACCTGTCCCACCTGTAACACACCTGTAACACACCTGTCCTGCCACCTGCAGGTTGCATCTTTAACCTGAAGACGCTGCTCCCGGCCGGCAGCCAATCAGAAGCCCTGCAGGCCGTGGTGCGGGTTCTGGCCGAGACGCTGGACCACGACGTTACCATGGCGATATCCGGCCTGAGGGGCATGCTGGGAGAACAGCAGACCAACAACAACGTAAGTCTGACTCCAGCTATGTACCAGGGTCATCCTGATCCTACATGTTGGAAAATCTGGGACTTTTTTTCTGCAATGATCGGTTTGATTGCTGACTGTCACGTTGCCTTGCTGAATCACATTTTGATGTTTATGACAGAGAAGACTGTTGTGCCTCTGCAGGGCACTGTGGAACAGATGAACGGAGAAACAGACGGACCTGCGAGACCGGCAACACCTGAGCAGAACCAGGTGGGTCCTTCCTCCTGTGGTCGTGTGGCAGGGAACCTTACTGCTGGGGAATACCTAGTAGTTATGTTTACCATTGCAGAAGGTCTTGCTCATTCCATTGTTCTTGCTCATCTTCTTCTTTTCTCCAAACAAAAAGGTCAATGACCTGGACCGGATGGCTGTTACCATGGTTACTGGTGCAGTAGTAACCCTGTGGTTACATTATGTAGCAAGTGGCAGGACAGAGTTGGAGGGGCCAGTCACCCTATGTGTATGAATGTGTTTGAGTAAGAATAAACAGAGCAGTGCTTTGTTAGGCCAGACCATGTGAACATCATGCAGATAGTTTGCAAATGTTACCTTTCTAGTTTACAAATAGATTTGTTTGTTTGTTTGTTTGTTGCAGTTGCCAGCGGCGACCCAAGCGCAGCTGGACCAGGTCATGGCGCTCCTCTCGGCCCAGCAGACGGCTCTGGAGATCATCGCAAACATGTGTCTGCCTGAGGGTAGGACTGGTCCACCAAACTAGTGTGGTTTCTAGAAATGAAAGCATGTTTTTGTGCTATTTTAGCCTTGTTCCTGTGTGAGTAGTATAGCCCTACTCTTGTACTATTTGTAGTGCTGTTGTAGTCCTGTTCTTGTGCTATATTCGAGCTGTTTCCCCGTGTCCTCAGATGACAGTGACGAGGAATGGGAGGACATGGACAGCAGTGACACGAGTGACGAGGTGACCATGTGTGACGTGACAGAGGAGGGGGGTACTCCCCTGATGACCCCCCTCTGCTTGTCGGCCGAGACCCACACTGCACTCATCAGCCACAGTCTGCCCAGGAAGGTACAAGCTTTACTACACAACTACAGTAACTTCAGTTCCAGGGATTTGGACTGCTTTTCTTCACCTGCTATTCTAAAGGAAGTCACTAGGATTCCCAATATTCTTCTAAACAGCATCCTGGCCTCATACATGTACTTAACTCTACAAAATCAAGTCCCAGATTACCTTGTTGGAACCCTGCCTGTCTCCAAATGTTACTATATGCTCAGATGTCTCCACCATGCCTGTTCTAATGTTACTGGCTGTACAGTGAATGTATCGACCATGCCCCTTCTGTACTCTCAGGTCCTGGACAGGACAGTTCTCCCCGAGGGCTGCGAAAGTCTGGCAACATCACCTCACGGGCAGCCGGTACTGAAAAGGTAAACCTGAACTCACAACAGGAGATCTGATAGTCCTGTGTGAAACTATAATACTAATTACAACTGCACGTATAATCCTATGAAGAATTCATCTAATAGTATAATAATTATGTCTTGATTAAAGCTAAGACTACCAGTAATGCTCCTTCCACTATGTCTAAGGAACATGTTAGCCGTACAAGTGTCTAAGGAACATGAGAACATGTTAGCTGTGTCTAAGCCTAAGACTTGTTCCTTCCCAGATTACTTACCGTACAGAGACGAGCGCTGCTGTGTCTAAGGAACATGCTGGCAGTTCTGGATGGAGAAGGGATGGACGAGGCTGGGCTGGTGCAGGTCGGGAACCACCTCATGGGGCTGTTCTCAGGTAAAGCTGACAGTTCATCTTCCCAACCACTAACACTGGTAGCAGGCTACTCTACAGGTTTTTGTCGACGTGTTATTTGGGATTTTTATCAAGCTTTCTTTCTGTACTGATATGTTTTTTTTACCAGCCAAACGGTAGCGTCTTTGATATTGCCCTGCCAATTTTATGCTGTCTTGTACATGTATGTAGGCACCAAAAGATCTGCTCAAAGCTGTAGCAATCTGCATATATGCCAGACTGGGTATATTCTGTCAGTGTCAGAATTCCTATAGATTTGAAATCTGAAACATTTTGCTGAACATTGAGAGGTGTATTTCAGGGAAACTAAAATACTATAGATTTCATGGCTCTGTTTTCGGTTGACTAAAAGATTACATTAGCTAACAAATCTGGAAAAGTAACCCATTCTTCCCGCCTACCCAGTTTCCAGGCCTGATGTGTACATGTATGTTTATGCTGGTGTATGCTATCTGTGCATGTACATGTATATGATTGTGTAATTGTACATTCTTGCCACCTGCCCAGTGTCCAGTGATCAGGAGTTCCAGGAAGCTGTGACAGGAGCCATCCGATCTCTCCTGCAGAGGATGGCAGCCGTACAGGTCACACAGGTGAGTCAAGGTCACTCAGGTGTGTACAGGACACACAGGTGAGTCAAGGACACACAGGTGAGTCAAGGTCACTCAGGTGTGTCAAGGTCACACAAATGAGTCAAGGTCACACAGGTGAGTCAAGGTCACACAGGTGAGTCAAGGTCACTCAGGTGTGTACAGGTCACACAGGTGAGATACGAAACAGTTACATTAAATTTTGTAATTTCGTACTGACACAGTATCCTATTGTGGTAGAGCTTTCCTCCTGTTATGTCCCATCTTCACTCATGCCGCCCCCCTCCCCACCCACAGCCGCTGTCCAGGGAACAGCTGTGTGTCCTGTGTGACCTTGGGCGACAGTCGCTGTGCCCGAGTGTGCGAGCTAACGTGGTGAATGCTGCCGGCAGTATGGGCAGCGTGCTGGCCAAACAACCCGACTCGGGAGAGAAACTCAAGGTGAGTTTTCTGTATCTGTATAGCCAGTATAACCACGCATGTAGGGGCAGCTGGCTACATTACACCGAACGACTAGTTACACTCAATCTTTTCACATTCAAATGCAGGAGTTGTTTCAAGCTTTATAGTGATGCTTGGTCGAGTTCTGCCACTCTGCGATAGTTCTTGGAAAAAAACTAGTTTTTGAACACATCAATTCTTGGTTGATATTAATTACATCATTCCTCAGATGTTCCTGATGAAGGTTGTGGGAAGGATGGGCTCATAGAGGTCGTGACCTGTGACCTCCCTTCCCCAGCTGATCGGAACGTTTCTGATGGAGGTCGCGGGTAAGGACGCGGTGCTGTGGGTTATAGGTCAGGGGTCATGATTGTGTGTGTAACCTATGACCTTCCTTCCCCAGCTGATAGGTACGTTCCTGATGGAGGTCGCAGGTAAGGACGCGGTGCTGTGGGTGGTGGCGGAGGCTCTGGACGCCATGTTTGACATGTTCGGGGACGGGCCGCAGGTGGACGCGGTGGCAGCTGACATCGGGCTCGTGGCGAAACTCCGGCAGATCTGCCCCGTCTTCAAGTCAAGGGTGGGGCTTATCTCTTACCTCTTAAGACTACAGTCCAACTAAGATTGCAAAACCCACTCATTATGCAGAATGAGGGACTATTCATTATCCACTGCCTTCATAAAAGTCTTGAATCTCATAATAGCAAACAGTTCAAACAGTAGTTGTTATCTTCTCTGTTGCTTTACTTTACTTTCTTCTGGTTCAATTTGACCGTGATTTTGCAACTTGAGTTCAGGCTATTTTATCTGAAAACTGTGACACAAACTTCTGTTCTGTTTTACTCAAGTTCCTGTTTAATTTTTCCCCATGCAGGTGCACAAGGAGAGGAGAAGTCTGGGAGAACACTTCCCTGTGGTGGACAACGCAAGAGTCAACCTCACCAGGTTCATCAAGTACAAGGACGGCTGCTAGGGGGTCCTGAGGGATCACCGGGCACAGCAGAAGGCTGGTAGGGGGTCATGATTGAGGGTACTATCTTGGGAACTGGGACAATTTGATGGCAGATTTTATTTTATCAATATTTTAAGTTGTCAGTTCATTGATTTATTCTCCAAAACAGACATGCAAGGCAGAGCTTTTGTGTCTTTTCCTACAAAAATATTTTTTGTAATTTATCTATTTTAACCATGTCTTGGGCTTGATCTATACACCTGGTTGCCTTGGAATGAGCACTTCACTCATGAAAATGAAACTATCAGGCTTTGTGTGAACTTCAAGGGAAATTGAATCACAGTTGTTGTCATTGACTACCCCCCCCCTCCATGGAAGCTGTATTTGACCGTAAATACAGTGAGTTACCAGCGCAGAGTAACATACTAATACCAGGGTACTGCGAGATGTCAGTACAGTGTAACATGTAATACTGTAAGGACTTTGTAAGATGGGAAAAACACTGTACAATGTATATATATATGAAAATGAATAAATTTAGTCCTCAAATTACACCCAGTCTGATCGTGTTATTTCTTCTATACTTGGGTCCTAGCTGTGGTGACTGTCTTATATATATATACAAGCATGTAGCTCATACAAGTCATGGAACACTGCATTGAAACAGTTAAATGTCTAATATTTTCCAAATAGTACACGATTTCTAGTGTCCCTAACTTCCTAACACTCCTTGCCTATAAAAACAAACCCAGCATCCCAAACAATGATTAGCACAAGTACATTTGGTTGTTATCAATATAGAATTTCTGTATGACTTTTTATTCTTTACAATCAAGTCAAAATAATACACTCTGCTGAAGGCTACACTTTAATCTTACCCAGTCTGGATGAGCATAATCTACACCCACAAGTGCACTTAGAAAGGACATCCTAGCTTTGCTACACATGTATGTACAATACGGATTCCTCAATTTGAAATATTATCCCTTATGCTCTGCACCATCACAGGGAATGACTTGAAATGTACAGTTTGTAATGGCACAGCTGGCAAAAACACTTGACTAGGAACATTATCTAATTTATTTACAAGTTTTCTAACCGACGGACCGCCATTTCTGTGTAAGTCTGTACAAAGCCTGTAGTATATATCAATGAGATTTATGTTGGAGACATTTTTAAGCATGAGGGCAGAATCCAAGAAAGGTGAAGTCTGAAGATTTCTAACATTTTTGTACAGGAATATCCCGGAGATACTGGGACCCAGACCAGTCTGGTCAGAGCTATTCTAAAAACCTGCACAAGCAAACATCACCTTTACTTAGACTCCAGGTTTCGTAAGGTAAAGATATCTGGACAGTGTTAAGGGATGCAGAAAAAATCTGAAGGCACTTCAACTTCAACTTGTAAGATTCAGTCAATAAAACTGCTTCATTATGGAAAGACTGAAATAGAGAGATAGAAACATGCCACAGGACCCACTGGCAAAGCTCACAACTTCAAGCTACTGATTCTAACTTAAACTATTAGTATTATATAAAAACTAAACACTTCCTAGTGCCTCCTACTCTGTAACTCTCATGCTAACATTGCAACAAATGCAGAGGGCCAGGAATCTGGTATTTTGAAGCGCTGATTGTGTTCTAGTCCGGTATTTTGAAGCGATAAGTTTGTGTTCTAGTCCGGTATTTTGAAGCGCTGAGTTTGTGTTCTAGTCCGGTATTTTGAAGCGCTGAGTTTGTGTTCTAGTCCGGTATTTTGAAGCGCTGAGTTTGTGTTCTAGTCTGGTATTTTGAAGCGCTGAGTTTGTGTTCTAGTCCGGTATTTTGAAGCGCTGAGTTTGTGTTCTAGTCCGGTATTTTGAAGCACTGAGTTGTGTTCTAGTCCGGTATTTTGAAGCGTTGTCCTCTGAGTTTGTGGTTGATGTCTGCCAGCGCTATGGAGTACAGCAGCTTCTGTTCTAACGTCAGGTTGTTGAACATTTCCTCCTCCGCATTCTTCTCTTTCTCAGCTGAACAGGGAAACACAAGGGACAGTTAGAGATGATAATTATATTCGTACAAAGAACAAACTGTAGGGTCTAAGCCATTGTACAAATACAACTGAGCTGTCTACTGAGTTAAAGTCTCGAAGGCCACACAGCCATACTGAAATGTTCCTGCTGTTCCCATCCTTTTACTTGCTGACTGTGCCCTTGGGTGTAGGTATACATATGGACAGTATGACTGCTGTTCCTGTTCTTGCTGACTGTGTCCTTGAATAAGGATAGTTAGACTTACCGCTGTTCCCGTCCTTGTTCTTGCTGACCGTGCCCTTTGGCCTCCCCGGCCGTTTCTTCCTGGGAGCTCCCTCCCCCTGCTCGGCTGATGTGGAGGCGGCGCTGGCCTCGCTGATGTTACTGTTGGTGTCATCTCTGTCTGCTTCTAACGTCACCTATGGAACAGGAGGCACAGTAAAGAACCCAGCACACACTCCGCAGGTGTGACAATAAAGAACCCAGCACACATTCCTTCAGCTTTAAGTTACTCTGGTTGTGCTTTTCCATCTACATCTCGGGATCACTGATAGTTAGTGAGCGATCATTTGTGGTCATGTTGGTGTCCTACGTCAGTAAACAGTTGACACCAGTGGGACACCAATATGGCCGACCATTTTGTTGCCATGACACCAGTTTGACTGACAGGAACTTACACCTAGTGAAGATCACCGGTGATCACGATACATTGAGCTATTGACCTCTGACCTTTTTGATGAAGCTCTCGGTGTCTGTGATACAGCTGCGGTTTGACCTTCGACGTTTGACCCTGACAGGTTTGTCCTGACCTTCCTTCCAGTCAGGGTCGGCGAGATGTTCCTCCCCCTGCCTGCTGTCCTCGGGACAGCCGTCTGGGAACAACAACAATCAACAACGATCAATAACAACAACAGTCAATAACAACATCCTGTTCCTCCCCCTGCCTGCTGTCCTCGGGACAGCCATCTGTAAACAATAACACAAACAATCAATAACAACAATGATCAATAACAACAACATCCTGTTCCTCCCCCTGCCTGCTGTCCTCGGGACAGCCGTCTGGGAACAACAACAACAATCAACAACGATTATTGACACACTACAGAAACTACGGAACTATATATTCACAGTGCGACAGGTGCAGGAAAAAGAAACTCCAGGAATTATTTGTTAACTGTAATGATAAGTTCACTGTACAGAGGTGACAATGAAAACAGTGAACATAAGTAAAAGTAAAGAACAAAAAGATCAGGAATTACAGTATTGACACACTACAGTATCTAAGTTTCTCACCTGAGGCTGCGGACAGGGGCTTGGGGTTCAAAGGTCGCTTACTCATGAAGAGGTGGCCACACGGACAACTTTTACAGGCAACTGGGATCTGGGGAAACAGACATAGAGTTATAATATATCAGCTGCATGTATTGATATGTGTTAGGAACAGTTGGCTAGACATTCAAGATAACCCACTAGTTACATATACTACTGTCTATACTGCTGTGGTGTTCTCATCTCTTAAAACTTACGGAAACTACTAGTAGTAGTAGTAGTACAAACTGTCATGTTCAGAATTTCACACACCTGTCCCTCACAGGCAGATTTCCCCACACCACAGATAAAGGTGCACACATCTGCACTTATTAACGCTGGTGATGCTTACACTTGGGGGCTGACAAGTGTCACGTAGACACCTAGAGGAAACCATTGCACCATCAGCACATTCAGAACAAGAGTTCCGAGATCTCATACCTCCATGAAATATGGGCTTGATATGTAAATGTAAATTTCTTCTTTAATTATGCAAATGACCTCTGCATTAACATAATATATGCATCGTGATGTTAACTTTTGATTAACTTAAAGATGTCCCAAGTATGACATTCCCATCATTCACCATTGAGAAATCATAGATTTTTTGCATTAATTATGCAAATTAGGTCATAATTTGCATAATTAGTATCTGTTGATGTTTCATCTGCCATAGGTTACATACATTACATGTATGAAAGTTCTATAATGTAAAACACTGTAATTATAGAATTTCTTCATTAATTATGCAAATAAAGTCCTCATTTGCATAATTTGCAGTTAATTATGTACATCTCTCTGTCAGATACCTACACACCAAAAATGATGAAAATATGATGTTCCTATCTGTACTTATTGGCTTTCAAAGATTTCGCCCAAAGGCCCCTGCAGTTCCTGAACAAGCTGCTAGGGGGACCAAACCCACACCACTTATTCCTGACAGGAAAAGCTATCTGTCACCAAAAATTCAAGACCCAAGCATGTTCAAGACCAAAGATACAAAAACCGGAAGTTCTGCTGCAGTACCAAGGTCATCCACCAGGAGGCCCATATTTGACCTTGACCTTTGTCCTCCTAAGACTTATCAGCATACCAAATATCATCACAATCCATAAAGGCGTTATGAAGTTATGCTGACTACAAAGTTGCGGAAACACACACAGACACACACACAGACACACACACACACACACAGACACACAGACAGATGCCGCCAAAAACAATACCTCCATTTTTCATGGAGGTAATTACGATTGTACAGGTCACTGACCCCTGAACTGTCCCCCTCATGCACCAGAAGCCTATCCGGAATCCTGGTTACCAGGAAGCTGATCTAATCTGACTTGACATTTGGAAGGTTAACCTGACATGATATTTAACCCTCTCTCCTAACCTTTCTGCCTGACACAGCCTGTAACCATCCTGACACTGACCTTCCT